TATTTCCCCTAATCTTCTCAATTACTTGAGATATTACATTTGCATGTACATTCATTTCTACTAGTATCACTTGAAAGTTTTAACAACTTTCAAGTTGAAAAAGTTGTTAAACTTTTTCATAGCATGCCAGGGACTACCTACTATGAGTATTTTATCTGTTACCAATGACAGAATCCTCATTGCCTGCTTTGAAAATCCCATTTTGGAGGTCTGTTCTCTAGGATCACTTCTGTTATCACCTGTTTTGGGTAAAGTTCTAGGGGAAATTGACTATGAGATAAAAATTTGATTGTAGACAATTTATAGGGGCATGCTCAAAAGAACCCTTGTGAATTGATGAGGGAGGAAAGAATAGCAGAGAAAAAATTGAACTGATACAGTCACAACGAAGGCCTCAGCTGATCCTTTGGGGAGTTTGGGAACTGAGATAGCCTTTCAAATTTGCCGAGAATTGAAGCAGGAGATCTGACTTTTGTCTATCTACATCATCCCATCATTGGATGTGTGCTGCATAGGCTTAGGAGAGTCAGTTGCCTTCAAATAAGGCCAATTCTGAATTTGGAGAAGTGAGTGCCCCTGACCTGAGAAGATATGGCAAAGGGTGGAGAGTGGTTCTGGGCAGCATAACACAGCCTCCATTTCAATGAATTTAATTGTATCTCTGTTGGCTATCTTTTATCTATTAGTTTTATCAATCTTTAGTATAATTTTAAAAATTATTTATCTTCATTTTCCTTTTTGTCTCGTTGCCAGTTTCTATCATGTATTCCTTCCAAGTTAATCTTCATTTATGATTTTTTCTTGTTTTCATGATTATTTCCTTAGTCCTGTTTCTGTTTCATAATCTTCTGTTGTTTATTTCTGGGTTCTTTTCCTGACTTATACTGTTTCAAAGCTTTAAATGTTTTCTTTTAGCTCATTTAGAAATACTAGGTCAGAGTTTTTATCTGCTTTGTGTTTGCATGTTTCTGGTGTGTTCACATCCTATAGGACTTGTCTCTCAAGGTATTAGGCTCACCTTTGGAAGTTTATTTTGCTGTCATCATACTTTCTGGGATTTGATTTCTCTGGATTCTTCCTCCGTTTGCTACTATCTGAACTTTACTTTTCCCTTCCCCACAATATTTCTTCCCTGTTCAATTTGATTTCTGAAATAAGCAGTTTTCTTTCTGCATGAGGATTTTTTTTCTTCTGGAAGAAAACATATGCTGAATAGTTGTGAAATCCTTAAGGGACTAGCTCACCATAGCTCTCTATGAACTCTTGATGATCCTGTGCAGTTTTCTTTACTTATCTGTTATTCAGAACCTGTGATCACTTATTCCAATGTTTCAACTGCTCTCAAACCTATTTTCCCAGTTTGGTCAAGAAATAATGATATTTCAGATTAGGGTGATGACAGTGAAGATGAACTGAACATTGAGAGATATTTTGGTGATATAATGAAGGGGAATCACTTATGGTCTAATGTAGGAGAGAAGAGATGCTGAAAAATGGTTTTTGGCTTAGGCAATTAGATGAAGGTTTTACAGAAATAAGGGAAACTAGATGAATAATTGGTAATGGCAGAAGAAGGCATTCTATTTGTCTATATTAAGCTTGCAGCACCTATTAGATAGCCATGTAGATATATCAAATAAATCAGTCTTTGAACTGAGAGAAAGCAGTGTGCTTATATGTCCTTTGGGAAGCCTTTTCTGAATGCCCTCTTCCCATCCCATTAATTTTATTACCTTTGCTGCCCACAGCATCCTTCATCACTTTGATTGAAGCCTTTATCAAATTTATTTTGTAATTGCCTATTTATTGGTCTACTTCCTCTGTTGGATTGTGAGGTTTTTGAAACAGAATCTGTGTTCATTCTTTTTTCAGTTTCCTTCCTGGAACAATGCTGACAGTCAGCTCTTACTTGTTCAATGCATGCACAGAAGAATGTCAATTCTATTTTTTCTACAGCTCCAATTTTTGAAAAATATTTTCCAAATTTGGCCTCTTGCAGATTCAGACTTTGTAAAATAAAGGATAAATTAATTTTAAATTGAAATCATAAAAGATCTTCAATATGGAAGCCCAATTTGAAAAAANAGGATTTATCTCTGAAGTTAGATACTTTTAACTTGTTCCAAATATTCTCTTATATATTTGACTTAGACCATATGTGTATTTTATGTCTGGGTGAGCATATTAGTCTTTCAAACTAAACGCGTAATAAAATCCTCAACACTGTTTTCACATATATCTTAAATTATGTCTCCTCAAATAGATTTTTGTATTGAAATACCTAAATGTAGGATTTATTATGTATATCATTAAATTTCATCTTAGTGAATTAAACACAATTCCAGGAGTGGAGACCATTTGGGATCCTACACATAAACATCTTGACTTATATATATTCTTACCTCTAAGTACTCAGACGCAGAAGTTGGAAGCATAACAAAAGTGCCAATGTTGGGCTCCAGACCCTTGTTCAACCCTCAACCAAAAAATTATGTTTTTAGGTTAATGTAAAACTTGTTTTATGGTGAGGTCAATGTAAAATTTATTTTTGGCAAAAAATTGTCTTAAAATTTTTGAAAACCATTTTTCTAGAGCAAGTCACTGGTGCATGTCCCTAGACTGTAATCAATACTACATCCTTTTCTCTCTGTCTACTCATTATCCAATTTAAATGGTTTTAATTTTGTAAGTTTGCATGATTTATCCACTATAGTTTAAAAATGGGTAATTTTTATGAATCATTGTACCTACTTATTTTAAAAAGATCAGAGTAATTTGGTATCTTAATGAATAGTCTTATGATATATAGTTTTGAGTCCTCCCCAACTTTAAACACAAAATAAACTGTTGTGAAAGAATTTGTCAATTTAACAGATGCTGGCAATTCAATTGATCTTATCTTGCACTTTGTGAAAAAATGCTGCATTTCGTGGTATGCTCAAAAAAGGTAACTGGCCGATTTGTGTTTGGTAATTCAGTCTATGCATTCTACCCTGGTTCTTCTTTCCCTTTTCCTTTCACCAATACACCAAACGTATTTAAAAGGGGGGATGATATTGTACCATAAAATAATCTTACAACAACAGTCCCATGGAAGAAAAGAGGATTTGGGAACCATCTAACTCCATTTAGGACTATTTACTCAACTAGGTATAAATCCAGTCAATGATACTATGCTTCAGCTCACACTTACTATTTTATTTAAATTGCAAAGAACAAAAACAACTATTAAATCCCTTGTCTAAATGCAGATATGTCACCAACTAAATTTGTTATTTTTAAAAAATAGACACAGGATCTCACTATGCTACCTAGGTTGTTCTTGAACTCCTGGGCTCAAGTGACCCTTCTGTCCCAGTCTCCCAAAGTGCTGGGATTATAGGCATGAGCCACTGTGTGGAGCATAAATTTATTTTTTGATAGAATTAACATATGAAGGGCATACTAAAGCCTATTTTTCATATTCCTGGTGACTCAAGTTGGATTCTAATGGTATTCTCACAAGTTCACAAAGCAACTTGATGATACAACTGAGACCAGAATCCTGGAATTTGGGTTCACAGGCCATTACACTTTCTACTATCCCAAATACTTACAAGAGGGACTGCTCATAAATAAAAAAAACACCAAAAAAAAAAAAAAAAAAAAAAAAACTGACAAAATCAAACAATTCAAAGGTAACATCCTCTGGCCCTTTACCACTTACAAATTCTTCCTTCTTCGGTTTCAAGTATTTAATTCGTAACATCTTCCTAACCTAAAACTGACTTTGAGACTGAATATCAGCTTCTATGAGGTAAGATGTAGAAAAAAACAAAATTATTACAATTTCACCGTGTGATCTCCCCAGAGGTATTAAGTGCAAACTGTTTAAGTATTGCCCCTCCAACTTCCAAAATAATCATCTTTGGATGGGAAATGATCATTTACATAAAACAATATGTAGAAATTAAAACACTTTAATATAAACATTTCCAGAATATAGACTGACTTTTTATATCAACACTTTTTGAGAGCTTTTTAAAACTATATATCATCTAAGTTTATTATAGACTGTTTCATTTTCCATGTTCAGAACTAGAAAATGCAAAAAATACACTGCAAATTAGATTGAATAAAGAAAAAAACAATCAGCTTGTTATTTCATACATATTCCTTGAAGAAAGCGGAGACACATAAACACAAGAAAACAACAATAGAATGCCACCAACACTAAAGCAAAACCAAGCAAAGAATTGATTTTGTAATGCTTGGCAATTCTGTCCTTTAAAATAAATTATCTCCCATGAGCAAATAATTCATTACCACAGCAATTTGATCAGCAGAAGTAGACACAACTTCATTTAGGAAAACTACATTATATATGAGATATGTGAGAAACATTTAATATTTTTTTTCTTTTTTAAGAAAATGAAGGAAAGTAACGAGGAAAAGGCATATTGAATACTTTTACTTCACTTGGCTTTTTTAGAGATTAAAGTAGCCATCTACCTAGAAAAATTCCAATAACATGAATTTTATGAAAGCAAACTCTTTAACTTTTTTCTTCAACTTTGAAGGAAAAAACTAAAAAGTTAAAAATCCTAGAGTAGACTCATCCCAAATCACTGTCTCTTGTGTCTTTTCTTGAGTAGATTTCTTTTTCTCTTAACTTCTTGTGTTCTCATGTTAGTGTTCAGAGGCTAGGTTTAGGCTTTTTTGTTGTTTCTTCTTTCAATTAAATTACAAGTTTTTAAAAAAATAGCTTTCCTGAAGTGACACTGACTGTTTCTACCTATCCTTTTCTTCATCTGATCCTCTTGCATTTGTCTAAGTCCATTTTCTTAGCTGACTTTCTCAATTAATCCTTGGGCAAACAAAACTAAAAGTTCAATACACAAGCGTAGACTCATTCCAAAACACAGACTCTTCTCTTTTCTTTAACAGTTTTGCTTTTCTCTTATGTTCTCCTTGAGTTCTTATGTTCTTTTTCAGATATTAAATTTAGGTTTTTTTTTTCCTTCTTCTTTTAATTCAATTTTAATTTTTATACAAAACAACTAAGTATCCTGAACTGACACTGACTATATCTACCTCTTCTTTATCAGATGTTGCGGTCTTTTTCTAAATTCATACTGTTTTTTTCAATTCAACTTTGGGTAAACAAAACTAAACATTCAAAATCCAAGAATAGACTCATCCCAAAGCATTTCCTCTTCTGTCCTTTCTTCAACAGATTTCTTTTTCTCTTTCCTGTGCTTACGTTCTTCTTTCTCAGAAGGTACATTGTGGCTTTTTTTCTTTTTTCGATGCTTAAGCTTTCCTGAACTGACCCTGACTCTATCTCCCTCTCTTTTCCTTTGTCGGATGCTCTTGTCTTTGTCTAAATCTGTATCTTCATAAGTCTTTTTCCTTTTATGCTTGGACTGTTCTTTCTCTGGCCTTTCTTTGCCTTCTTCCAGGTGTCGTCTTCTCTTCTGATGTTTCCGTTTATGACCCGCTTGATGGTCAGTAGTATTGTTTTCTGGGGAGAGGTGCTTGTAAACTTCAGATTCCACACTGTATGAGCCAGAGTTATTTTCTTGCTGATTAAGGCTCAAGAGTACTGGTTTTTCTGAGAAACAGTCTCTGGTGAGTTGACAGTAGCTAATAGAATCTAGTCTCTGTTTGCCGTCATAAGCTGATAAACAATGAGGTAACTGGTTTTCCACTGCTTGTGAAATACTGTATGGTCCTGAATAGGCCTGGAAAGTCTCAAATGGGATCTTTTCCTCCAACATTCTATGTCTAGGTCTGGCATCAACCATTTCTCTGTTCTGTGTTTCTACAGAGCTATCACCTATCTTTCTGAAACAAGTTTTTGGCTCTAGTCCTCTGGCTTTCTGCACTTTTATGTAATCTTCAAGTTCATCTTGGAAAGAATCATATGTCCTCTTTGAATGAGCTGGTAACCACTGAGGTAACTGGCTTTCCACTGGTGAAATATGGTATGGTCGTTGGTAGGTCTGAGGAGCCTCACGTGAAAATCTTTGCTCACACATTCTTGGTCTGGGTCCAGAATCAACCTCTCTGTGTCCATGAGTATCCACAGAGTTCTCTCTCATCTTTCTGAAACAAGTCTTTGGATCCAGTCCTCTGGCTTTCTGTACTTTGATGTAATCTTCAAGTTCATCTTGGAAAGAGTCATATGTCTTCTTTGAATGAGGCAACTGCGTTTCCACTGCTTGTGAAATATTGTACGGTATGGGGTATGTTCGGAAAGTCTCAAATGGGAGTCTTTGCTCAAACATTCTATGTCTGGGTCTGGAATCAACCACTTCTCTGTATCTGCACGTTTCCAAAGAACTCTGTTCCATCTTTCTGAAACAAGTCTTGGGCTCTAGTCCTCTGGCTTTCTGCACGTTGATGTAATCTGCACATTCATTTTGATAAGAGTCATGTGTCTTCCTTGAATTCTTCACTAGATTGATAACAATGGATTCTCTGTAAAGAAGACAGTAGAAAATTCTTGTTATTAGATTATTTTATACTGAATATTTTCTTTGCTCTTAAAAGTATTAGTCTGAAAAAAGAAAAACAAATGCTCAAATTTTAAAAACCTACTTCATTATAAAAGCTATAAATCGTCAATTTTTATGCCAAAAAAAGCAGCATGAACAGTGAGAACCTACTTCATTATAAAAGCCATAAATAATGATGTTTTTATGCCCCCCAAAAGGCAGTATGGACAGTGGTATATCTCCCAGGCACCTCACAATTTTTATGCAAAGAAAAAAGAGGAAACTTCCTCAGGCCCAGGATGAAAGGGAAGATGGATATAAAGGAGCAGACTTATCTGATGTTGTTGTAGCACTAAAAATGTTAAGACATGTTGGAATGTATGTGTAGGAACTAATGATATTTAATGTCCTCACAGATGCTCTGATTTGACTGTCATATGGTTTTTAAAGTTTTCATTAGTGAGTTCCTTATATATATCTTATAAATGTGATAGGTATTTATTCTGTAATCTTGAGGTTTTTTTAAAGTCTAAATTATAAATCTAGCCAGGTGAGGTGCATGCACCTGTATTCCCAGCTACTGAGGCTGAAGCAGGAGGATTGCTTGAGCCCAGGAGTTCGAGGCTGTACTGCACTATGATGAGGCAAATAGCCACTGCACTCCAGCCTGGGCAAGATAGCAAGAACCCATCTCTAAAAAAAGGAATGTAAATGTAGGTTAATTGGGCAAGTCAGACAATTTAGCTTCTAAGTATTCAAATTCAAATAATATAAATATTTTCTACTAGAATAAAACAATGTAACAGAAAGAATATGTCTTGATTTTATTTTATTCATTTTATTTTATTTATTTTCTTGAGACAGGGTTTCACTCTGTTGCCCAGGCTAGAGTGCAGTGGTGTGATCATGGTTCACTGCATCCTCAATATCCTGGGCTCAAGCGATCCTCCCACCTCAGCTCCCCAAGTAGCTGTGACCATGGGTGCATGCCACTAAACCTGGCTAATTTTTCTTTTTTGGAGGTAGAGATAAGGTCTCACTATGTCACCCAGACTTGTCTCAAACTCCTGGGCTCTGCCTCCCACAGTGCTGGGATTACAGGCATGAGCCACCGGGCCTACCTCTATGTCTTGACTTTAAAAGCATCAAGACAAAGATAAATAGTCAAACACCCTCTGACTTGCTAACTAAACTACCCAGTCTCCAACTGTCCACTCAATTCTCCTCTCCTTGAAATAACAGAATAAAATGGACTAAATATTTATTGAATTTTTAGTATGTGCCAGGGCAGGCACCTTACACATATTATATTTCATCCTAACAATCTTATATAAAAACTATCCAAAGTTACACACTTGGTAGAAAAATGGATCTGGTATTCTAATCTAAGTCTATCTAACAGCAAGGGCTCTATTCTTAACCACTATATCCCACTGGAAAAATGGTGACTGGATCACTGGCTCACTGAATCCCTGGAACTGAGCAAACCTTCCAGAAATTCTCTGAATTTGGGGGGTTAGTATCAGAGTGATTCTTTAGCATCTCTCCAAAGAATACTGCTCTCTAGTCAGGAGGGGTGCCAGTTAGCCAGCTTTGTCAGTACACTATCATTACTACAGAACTCTCTGAGGGACACTAGTATGCAATAAGTTATAAATACTGCCAACCATACCCAGGTTTAATTCATAGGGATATGGATGCCTAAGAAGTTTGTAAAAATACATCAAAGAGTGCTTAACTAGAAGCTCTAGTGTTTGGCACCATAGGAAAATTTTGGCAAAAATACTTACTTAATCTGATGTTCACTTCCTTGCATGTGGGACCGGAACATATCTAAAGATGTAAAAGCAATACTACAAATATGGCAAACATAGGTTCTCATACTAAATGCTGAAAAAACAGAGAGTTCAAGTTAAGAAGGTCAGTATAAATATATTTAGAATCACATAATGTTAGAACTGGAAAAGAATTTATTAAAGACCATCTACTTTACATTTTCCAATAAAGATGGGGCCCAGAGAGGTCAAATGATTTGGTCAAAGTCACAGAGCAAGTTAGTAGTAGTGTTAGCCTCTCAGAGTCCAAGCCTCTTAATTGAATGGCCAGAATTCTTTATACTACACCACACTGCTTCTCTAGCTTGACTTACTCCCTAAAAATCTGCTATCTGTCTACTTACTGTTGCTACATGGAGGTGCAGCAGGCACCTGAAATTTAGCATGGCCAAACAACCTTTGCCTCTGAATATCTTAACCAACTTCTTTTTGTTTGCCTCTAATTCTGTTCCCACCCAACCAAAAGGTGAAATGTCCCAAAACTTTAAAATCAAATAAAGGCAAATTTTTTACTCTCTTACCTGAAATCATTGCAGTGCATTAGTTACCAAAAGTAATTTCCACAGATTTTAGAAAGGAGAGAGGTTCAGTGAGCCCCACTCTCAGGATAAAAGCTGAAAGCAAAATTCTAAAACAAAACTACTAGTTACCACTTAAAAAGAGTCAAGAACTATTATAGTTAGGAATTATATAGTAGCTGGCACACTATTCTGCTTCGTAGAATTAGAATCAAGGAATAAATTAATTTTTATTTTTCTAATCTCATCATCCTTCCACTTCATCTTTGATCAGAAGAAGCAAATTAATACATTTCATAAGCCAAATATAAAAACATTCTGACCCTAAGGAAAAGGAAATAAATTGGTACCTGCAAAGATTTTAAGGACAATCAAGGTCATCTTCTTTTAAACCAAAAAGCGACCTAATCATTTAAAAGAACCTAAATTAATTATTATCAAGTGTATTGGCCATGTCTGAGCAAAGACTATTCATAGAAACAGGAGACTGCTTACAAGGGGAAAGAAAGATGCTGACTTTTCAGAATATGAGACTGCACACTACTGACATATACTCTACTGCAGGCCTAGGAAAACTCAGCAGGTTATGTCAAAACCTGAATGAAATGAACCCTCAAAACTATCCTTCTCTGCGGTCTAATTTCATGCGTACTAAGTCACTTTCTGATTATAATTTGGTTTTTCATATTCTTTGATACCAAAAAAAGGATACCCTGGATGATATATATCAAGAAAAACTAGGAAATGGAAATATGTATTTCCTTATACCATAAATCAACACCAGAATAACAATACAATAACTTAAAGTACAATGTTTCCAAGACTTCTCTGATAAAAATCACCTGGGGTGTTAGTTAAAAATATAGATTCCCAGGCTCTCCCCTAGAGAACATGACTTAATGTTTCTGGGTGAGGGACAAAAAATTTCTATTATCACAAATATGGCAAATGATTATCACAGGCCTTGTGAAAAACATATTAAAGTAATATTTTTCCAGTTCCTCAGTTATTTATCAGCCTCTTTCAAGTTTGTTTGTGGTTAGTGAGTCCCTGATTGAGGCTGATCAACTTGAGGATTTTGGACTTCTTGTAAAGCTAAGGACTAAACCCAGGAGAGTACACATTCACAAGAAACTCTTAGGAAATTCTTACTATCTTTTATAGCAGCTGTAACTAAGGCTTAGATTAACTTTGCCAATACATTTTGAGGGTACCCAAGTGGTGCAAGATAAGCAGGAGTCCTGGTTTCCTCTGGATTAATGGTTCTTAATGCTGGTTATACATTAGAATCACATGGAAAAATTTAAAATTATTGATGTTACAGCTCCATATCAGACCAATTAAATCAGAATCTCTAGGAGGAGAATATTGAGTCATGTTCTCCAGGGGAGAGCCTGAAAATCTATATTTTTAACTAATACCCCAGGTGATTTTTATCCTTACTTTTTGAAAGCTTTCCATATGATTTCACTGTCCAGCCACCATTGAGCACTTGCCTTAGATCAAGCTCCTCCAACCTGCAGCCCATGGGCCACATGTGGCCCAGGGTGGCTTTGAATGCGACCCAACACAAATTCACAAACTTTCTTAAAACATATGAGATTTTTATGGTTTTTTTTTTTTTTTTT